ACTGTTTGTCCTTCAGGGACGAATTCATGATGCACCACACCACGAATATCGAAGAAAACAATCAGCATTGCCTTGATTTTCGAGCGACTTTGGCGTGGTTTTTTCGGTTTCGGCTCGTCTTTTCCTCTCCATTCCGATGATTGTTGGCTTGTTTGCATGTCGTACTCGTAGACCCATGTCTCGTCACCCGTTATGATGCGTTCCATGAAAGTTGGATCGGAATTGGCACGATCAAGCATGTCTAACGAGACCTGTCCACGATGGTGTTTTTGGAACAAATTGAGGTGAATCGGAAAAAGCCGAGCGTTGACACGTCGCATACACAAATTGTCCACCAAAATCAAACGAGCCATCTCACGACCGATGCCTAGCTCTCGTGCTATCTCTCTAACACTCACATGAGGATTTTTGAACACGATTTCCTTTGCCTTTTCAATGTTTTCGTCGGTGGTAGAGGTCGAAGGTCGTCCAGAACGCGGCATGTCTTCGACGGTCGTACGACAGTCCTGAAAGGCTTTGTACCACTCATAAACTTGAGTTTTCGATAAAACTGATTCCCCATAAGCCTTTTGTAGCATTCGCAACGATTCTGCACACGAAAATTCGTTCGAAACACAAAATTTGATGCAAACTCTTTGATCAATATTTTTTTCCATTGTTTGACGCACTACTTGAGGTGAATGTTTCAAGCTGCCGTAAACGAAACTGTCGTGACAGATCGCGTCATTTTTGGCATAGTATTAGACAGTGCTGCCAAACTACATAAACTTAAAATATCGAAAAATATACAGCGCGCGAATTTTAAATGAGAATTTCCGAAAACTTTTCGGTCACAATGTATGTGTCTTAAAATAAAAATAATGATAAATGATAATGATAAATAACAATAGACAATTAAAATTAAAAACGAAACTGCAATAAAAGATGGATAAGAGCGGTGGTCCATAGCGCAACAAGAACAAGTAGTTTGCACTTATATTGTCATAGTCGTTATCGTAATCAATATTTATAATATATGTCCTTATATTATTACTTATTGAGTTTTTTTGTTAAAATTTATGAGGTTTATTGAATTTTGCGTAATTATTTAATTATTTCTGAGATCTGAAATATATACAAAACATAGACTGGGAACAGCAAATTTTTGTGATCCTTTAGCATTAGGCTATTAGTGAAAAAATTTTATGGAAAACTTGTATACATTTTTTGGGTATCGCAGATTGTAGTGAAAAAAGTCATAAAAACACGGGGGATTTTTGCAAATTTTCACTTTTAATTTTACTGTTAATAAAATTTAAACATGTTTTTGTTCAAAAATGGTAACAATATCCTAAGCTGTAAAAAATATAAAAAATGATAATATTTTAATTAGTAGATAAAAAATTATAAGGGTTCAAATTTCGCCAAAATTGTACGAAATCTCAATTTTGCTAAAATAGTTGCGAATAACATACAATAATTTACAAAATATACGGTACTGTTTACTTCTATACAAATGTGTTTCAGTTAAACTTGAAAATAAAAATTTCGGTTTTACAGAAAATTCTATAATGAATGAAATAAAATAGATTGTAAACAAAAATAAGTTTTTTGGTATTTTTACAGACATTTATTGCTTTGATATTTTCATTAGTTGCTGCTCTTGATTTCTCAATTGTTAAATGCACCTTTCTACATAAAAATACCAACAACTGTAGTTCAGAGCGCATGTATATGTATATATATGTATATATACTCTTTGATAAAATGCTTTAACACTCTCCAAACTCTCCCGCATGTTAAAGCTGAAAAATTAAAAATTGAGTCACAACGAGTCCATGTGACACAAAAATAACTCAAATACTATTTCCCCGATTTCTGCGACCGATTTTTGTGAAATTCCCATCACTTCATTTTTAAGATTTTTTGAGTGATGCACACTCTATGTATATATACTCTTTGGTATTGTATTCTCTATTTTGGTCCAATACTTTTTGATTTTCTATTGTAAGTGCATATGGTATTTAAAATTTAATAATTAATATATTACATTTTTTTAAACATTTTCAGATATTGCACCAGAAGAGCTGGGGGCTGTGGGTGGTTCAGAACCCGCTCTCACTCTTTCAACTCAGTTGAAAGAGTCCGAAGAGCGGGATAGGGCAGAAGAGCGTATGCGAAGGTACTCTCTGTTAATCGCTGAATTAAGAGCAGAAGTGTCTTCTCTTACAGCTCAGAGGGACACACTCATGCAGGCGCACGCTTCAACAAACAACTTGCCAACATTTCCTCTGGGAAATGTTGGCGAGTTCGAGAGGCTGGAGGCGCATCTGCTTTTATATGAAGAAATGAGGGAGAAATTGGTAAGAAAGCTTTTTATTTTTTAAAATAACTAAATTAATTAATTTTAATTTCTATTATTTGTATTTGCAGAAACAATCATTTCTCCAATTAGAAGTAGATGACGC